CGCAGGTTCTATGCATGTGCCCTAATGACAGGTACCCCAATCCCTCCCGGCTAACACCGGTCCCTCATGATGGGATTTTGCCGGTGCGGTCGACACGCCACTGTGAGCCACCAACCTGAGGCTCATCGCACACAGCCTCCCAATGGAATGGACTTTCAGGTCGCTGCTGAACTGCTCAACTAGGCATGAACAAATTCAAACACTAACCAAAAAGCTACGTAAAATAAAAGTGGAAGTGGGGGATAAATATTGCGCTGAACGTTCAGGATTGTCTCAAATTGATCAAACTGACTCATCCATTGGCTTTCCGTATCTTCATCTTCAAGCACATCGAACATGGTAACATGGTAAGACTGGAAATGCTGTGTTTGGGAACGTCGCACTATCGACATCGCGGACGCATGTGCAGCCCGGGATGTGTCCTGCCCGACCGAGACAAAGACAAACACACCAAGACAGACAGACCGACAGATCGAAACAGACAGACCGAGACAGACAATTGACATGGTGCTTGTGTTCGTCCGTGTGTCCTACAGACAGACTGACGCACCGAAACAGACGGACTGAGACACGCTCGAGCCCGGATAACGTGTCCTCCCTGCTCCGAGAGCACAAGTTGCTAGTTCCCGGCTCCACGAGAGCGCAGGTTGCTGCCGAGCCGGTAGGGTGCTAATGACACACTTTTCCCATGTATGCCTGGATGTGTGTCTGCGTGTATGTCTGTCTGTATGCATGGATGGATGTTTATGTCTGTATGTGTATGTTTTCCCTTTACTCTGGGCGGGTGGCTTCGACCGCGAAGCGGTGTGAGCATGTTGTTTCTCAAGTGAACCTATCCGTTGTGAAATCAGATTATGCCTAGACCCATCATAGGTCACTAGTGGGGCAGAGTCGGCAAGCTGGGTCTCTGATGAGGCCGTTCCACTGGCATGCCTTGACTCCCCGATTTCGTAGGGAAAGCCTTTGGACACCAACGAACATCCCTTCCCCACATCCACTAGGAGATAGCAGGAGTCACTTGAATTCAACAAACTCCATCCCAATAGATCGCCAAAACCTTTAGAGGACATCAACGGATTGTTGATTGTATAGCCAAACCTCTGATAAATCAGTGTGGTTTTGTTGACGCCGGACTCTGCACAGTTTCCTTTTGAGATCAGTGTGGTAGACTTGCACATTGAATGTCAATTGTTGAAGCTGTCAATTGTTTGAGTTCGCCGACCGTGATTGCATGTGGGCAGATTGAACCCAATATCAGAAGCACACCTGCTTGGGCTCTCGGGCCCTGTTCCCTGATTCTGGTTTTTGCGGCTTTAAGCAAGACGGCTGACCGCCGCTCAGTTGCTACCGTTTCTGGCCACCATATTTGAAGGCCCCCACCCATGTCTGACCCACCGTAATGACCCAAGTAGGTGCTACTCTGGTACAATGCAGTTCGGCATTTCTGTTACATTCTCATCTACCCTCAGTGTTTTCGGAAAATTTACAAAACTTAAAACAAGAATATCAAAACAGAGATTGAATCATGTTGAATCTGAACATGTGAAACCACCGTGCCTTATCTAAACAAAACTGTGACAACTCTTTCAATGACTTCCTAGAATGCTTCTTACATTAACGTCAACAATTGACATCCTGTACTTTTGTTTCTTGGTCGCCTCTCACACATAAACAGCACACACACATATCCAACAAAGTCATACTAAACCGCTCAAACCTCATACTAATCAAAGTCAACAACGAGTTCGTTTTCATGAGTCGTGCAAAGCCTCACCACTCTTATGGCCTTGTGGGCTTTCTATGCGAGGCCCCACGAGAAACCTCCACCACTTGTGTCTAAACAAGTAATTACGTAGAACCATCTTCTGTTTCTCCGAATGCAGCTGGTGCATCTAAGACAAGAGCGCTTTTCTTACTGGGCAGAGCGCTGCTTCAGAACAAATCCAGACAAACCACAGCTCGATGTTCTTTGATTTGTTCTTACTGGGTGCACCTGGGTCCAGTGAATGGATATTAAAATCCCGTTTTGGCGCTCGCGTCGGATGAAGGTGTCAGATATGTTGACGTTGAACCTTTACCACATGTGGGTCACTCGTGTTTGCCCAATGACTTTGCAACAAACATCATTGACGCGTGCTGGAAGGCACATTACACACTCGCACTCGTCAAAATCTGCGGGTGGATGAAAACAAAACTCATGTTGTCACGCGAGTAGCGATGGGTCGACATGGTGGGCAACTTCGGCGTTCTCGTTGCTCCGTTTCAGGGGTCATTCGCGCTGGCAAAACACACCAAAACGCGCTGTTGAACGTCCTGCGCCGATTCGTCACAAATCAACAACTTATCAGCACCTATTGACAAAACATTAACCGTTGGACCATGTTGAACCCTCGTTTTGACGGGACAATTGACGACTACAGTCTGCTAAACATGCCAAGGACGGCCTAGTGTGAAGGCAGAACATACACTAGCCGAGATAGGGTCCTCAACACGTGTTGGCAATCCTGGTCGTCACTTTCTCGTATTGCTGCAAATTTCCTTGAGTGTTTGTGGTTCGGCCAGGAAAAGAAGAACATGGGGCTCCCTTGGGTAGGGACCATGTGGGGCCCACCCAGGAATATTTCTCCCCAGATAGCGTGAGCTAGTGGGGTTCTTACTTCAAGTATGAAGAGCTGCATGTGTGCGTTTTCGAGCCTCGGTGCTGGTGCCGCTGCAGGGTGCTACTGCTGTGTGCGGTTGGGAGCTTGGCTGCAGTGTGCACTTGGGAGCTTGGGTGGTGCCCTGCTGCAGCTGTGTGCGGTTTGAGGGCTTGGAGCTTGGGTGGTGGTGCCGCTGGAGCTGCAGAGTGCCGTGGCAGAGTGCCCACAAAAGTCATTTTGCTATCTGGGGTCTATGTTTGAGAATTTTTGCATCCACATACCCACATATTTTTTATTCCAGAATGTGGGGTACATGGTTGGAATAAGTTTGGTGAAAATGAGGTTGGTATGTTGGATTATGTTGAGATATGTGATATGTGTGGGAAAGTGGGAAGACGTCCAAAATCTGCTTGCGTCGCGCTCTTTTTCTCCTAAACTTTCATGCAAGGGTCTGTTTGAGTCTGCTTCCTGAAATCATTGCACATCAGGTGCTACATCACCTCTATCGGCACTTCGAGAACACAAAGTGGTACACCTGCCACGAAATCAGCACTTCGAGGTTGACACAGTGCCGTGCCTGCTATGAAATCGAGAACACAAAGTGCTACACCTGCCACAAAAATCTGCTTCGAGGTTCACACAGTGCTTTGCTTGCCACGAAAGCTCCACTTAAGAGGTTCACAAAGTGCTGCGCCTCCCACGAAATCTGCACATCAAGATTCAATTTTCCATTCTCATTTTAGGGTGTGTCGTTTTGTGTCACCGAGTCTATTTTGGACGTTGCAAGCCACCACAGTTTGACTTGGTGTCTCTATTGTAACCCAGACTGCCAAAAGAAGTGGGTGAAACTGTGCCGCTTCAAGCCAGAAAACTACACATGTTCCCAAGACACATCTTGAATACCACTGTGTACCTCTTGGAAAACCTATGGAAACTGTTTGGCTGGGACCAAGAGCCACCTGTGAGAAAGTGCTGGCATTAATCTTCTCACTCTGCAAACAGTACCAACCCAGTGCTCCAATTGCATGATCTGTGAGCTCTACTTTGACTACGCCGATGCCGATGCCAACTTTTTTACTCTTACCAGTGGTACCTGGTTATGTAAACTGTTGATGAATTAATAACTTTGGATGGTCAAACCGCTTTCATCAACAGTCCCCTGGCAGCAAGGTCCACTTCACCAATCTCGTGTCTCTTCCACTCCGCCCCCTCCGTCCACGCCTGCATTCCGGCTCCAGCGCGCACAGTGCTTGGCAGGCCCCGATCGTCGATTGTTGCGTCGGCAAGTTCGGAAGCGTCGGGAAATACCTCCTCAGCGGAGGACGGAACCCGTTCCGTTGGTGTCTTGGTCGTCATGCGTCTTCGTACTCGCTGGCGTGGTTGGTAGACGTAGATGCGCAGCCAACAAGCAATATATCGACCCCACTTGAATGGGTGAAAACGGTTGACGTCGGAGTGTTGAATTTGTCACGTCGGGGTGGTGATCCGTTCTTCTGAGATCCTTCATTTTTTCGCGTCACTGAACACCCACACGGGACGCCCAAGCGAGATGCCCAATTGGATGCACTGTACCTCAATAATCCCAATAGATTTTCAACTGTTCCAATGCATCTCCCAGTGGCATGGGGAAAACCATCATGCACAGGGCAACAGTAATAAGATTCCGGTCACCCTCTTTTTCACACCTGATGCTATGTGTATGAGACCAAGAGCGGCGACTGACATCATGAGGGCCACAGGAACTCTCAGCCTGGAACGCGAAGAGAGTTTCGGTTTCCACTTGTTTCGTCTCCACATGGTTTTCTTCGGCCACATAGAGTCTTGGACATGTTGAACTTCTGAGATATGAGCTCATTTTGGTTCGATTTCTTTGGGGGTTCCAGAGGCGTTAGAACATGGGGTCCTCCCATAGCAGAAAATCCCGCTGAACAAGTTGCTGGACAACTCGTGCAGTTCCAAGCATCATATCCCGGTAGAAGCAGTGATCGATGATCACTGGCTGGGTCGAAGGCAGTTTATATATGCTTCGCTCATCATCTTGGCTGGTCAGACATGGATCATCTTGCTTTCTCGAACAATCCGAAGATGGAGAGATGATCAGGAAAGAGTCACTGTCGCACTGTCTGTGGCACAAGTTAGTCAACCCTTGATCTGTGCAGAACAGACAATTGCAGAGATCGGCGTCCGAGCCGCCGATCGCGACGAAGGGAGCTTTGGGTCCTTCACTCCAGGGGTCTCACGGTCTCACCTCGTGCGGCATCCGGTGGTCTGACCAGGTTAACCCACCGGCAAGAGAGAAGAACGCAGGATGCCGTGGCGCCCGGTGGTTGTCAACGGTGGCAGCCGGTCAAGCGGATTTGGAACAAGTCCAGTTTGAAAGACATGCATCAGCTTCCTTTTAGCTTGAACAGAATTGAAGCATCCCTGAGACCACACGAAAAAACACACAAAGAACCCGGGAGCTGGCCAGTTTTCCCGATGCGATGCCGACCTTATACACCGCCTGGATGTGTCCTTTCATCCCCCAAGCCCTGAAGGAGCTGAAGATCGAACGAAGCACATCCAAAGTGACACGGCTTTGGATGGCGTTCTATCTTGTAGTGGCAGATACCAACCTTCGAGGATATCTTCGGTGCCTTCCCACTTCCAAAGCAAAACAGAAGGAACGTGCTCGTCCTCTAGAATCCCTCTTGATTCCGCTTCGCTTCGCTCCGCTTCGCTTTGGATGGAGCAAAGGTTCTTTTTCAAGGGCACAACTCCTCTGCGAGGCTTTGAGTGCGTCAAGCTACTCCCCTCACACCATCTGACCAAGCTACTCGCCCGGAATTGCGACGAATGGAACAGCAGGAATCCGCAGTTTTTCCCGAGACGAAGAGGTGATTCGAGGAACCAGGAGTTGGAGATCGCGGAATTCCTCCAATTGGCCGAACCTTTGACTTGGAGATGAAGGAACATATGCAGAATGCCTCCCATCTTTGGAGCCCGAGGTGCTCGTCTCCGCATGGGCGAGCAAGGCCAGGATGGCCATGGCTCCAGCCATGGCTCCAGCCATGGCTCCAACTGGCCCCGAAGAGGGACGCAGTATGCAGAAGAGCAGAAGAATCGCTTCGTTCTTGGGATAACCCAACACTGCAGTATTCTCCAAGCCTTGGGGAGTGAAGGTGGGATTCTGCCAGTCTGAATATGGAGTCATCGAAAGAAGGGCTTTCTGAAGGGATATCTATTTATACTAGTAACCAAAGGGCATCGCTACTAGGAGCACGGCCCGCTGTACCTCTCGCCGGGCTACATGCGGGCCGCCTGGCTACCATCGAATCGCCGCATCGCCCGATGTGGGACACACGACCGAGTCTTCGACCGAGGTGAAAAACACCGCTTTGGATGGCGGCTCACACGCTGAGCTTGAAGTTCGGTTGCCAGTGGGGATTATTTTGGTCAGACGTGAGTGAGATTGCTGGGTGTGGTTCCGTACTTTGGGGCCCTCCCCTACAGAGAGGAGGAGAGGTTGAGGTCCCACTTGTCCAACTTGGGGATGATCTTCAGGATGGCACGTCGCAGGAGATGTCATTGACTGGAAAAACGCCCCCACCCAGAGTTCCGGAGGACCGGAGGAACACGGGTCTTTCTAAGAAAGGCTCCGCATGAACGGGTCAAAAGAAGTCTAGTTCTCGACACGTCTTCAAGAGAGGTCTACATGTTTTTGCCTTTTTCTTGTGGTAGACGCCCTGCGAAGCGGCGTCTGAAAGCCGGCAGCATCAGAGCCCAGGGGCTACGGGAGTGGCTGGAGGCGAACACATCAAACACCGGGAGTGACCCACCGGGTTTGGCACCAGGTAATGAATCTGGCGCCTCTGGGTTTCGTGCAACATCTCATTGCCACACTGAGATTTCCTTGCCACTCAAAAAGGCTTTTGAAGAATTTCACCCAAGCGGCATGCTAGGCTTTTGTACTGTGCAGTAGCTTTTTTCCGCTTGGTCAATGTCACTTCTTGCGACTTCTTGGCACAAATGAACCCATTGTGAAAGGACCAAACATGGACATGTAGACGCAATAAACAACAAATCCTCAGGCCCGGGGGGGTTGACATATCATTAAGGGTCTATATACATAATCTTACTGGTCCTTATATAGTAGAGAATCAGGGCATCATTCCCGATACCTGCTCATGGATCCCTCATTCCGAAGTCGGGTCGCACTCGCACTCGAAGTCGGTCCTTTGGTGTGTTCACAGGTGGTTTTTTCAGAGGTTTCGGTGGCACGACCAGTTACCTCCGAAAAATGCTGGTGGAAGTTGGACCCCCCCCATCGAACCTGGCAGACCTCATTGCGGCGCCATCGAAGCTCTGAAAAAAACATCCACTCGTTCGGTGCAACCAGCACCAGTCTGGCACGAGCCCGGGTCACTCACTCACCCTCACCCTCACCTCCTTGGTTCGTCGGTCGTCCATGGACCCAACAGACCCAACACCGCGTGCGGACGCCGCGGCCGGCGGAGCCATCGTTCCAGTTCGATCCGTGGCGCACGGCGCCGTGGCGAACGGGGGTGTCGAAATGCATGAGAAGTGAAGGAAAACGAAGGAGAAGGAACGAACAATGACCAGTGTCTCTTTTTACACATTGATGAACTCCGAAAAGAACTGATGAACTGATGATGTCTTTTCATTTTGCAACTCCCCCCACTCGACGCCATCGACCCACCGAAGACAAGGCGCCAAGAGTCTGCCCCTCCTGACTCTCTTGACTCCCTCAGTTTGCCCGGCTGAAGGCTGAAGGTTCACCTTTTTCGTTCGTTCCGTCTCTAGTGGGGAAACCAATCTAAACCAATCCAATCCATCTCAGGTTTCAAAAGGGTACATCCATTTCGACCCTCACTCACTCACTCACTCCGACTCGTCGAATTCAGCTTCGCTTCGTCCCCGCTTCGCACCTGGTCCAGCAATGCCAAGGCGGCCAACCGCACCGAGGCGCTGGGATCTTTGCCTCGGACCCGCCACGTGGACCGGAGAGCCGTTCGTGCTAAGCCGTAGCTCCTCACAGCACCTTAGAGTTTACATGGTTGGATGGCCACCTGTGTTGAATCACAGCGAAGCACAGGACCTGTCGAATCGTGTTAAATCTGCAGTCGCCACTGCAGTCGACATGGGGTGATGGACGACATGGAGATTCAGTTGATTTGCTGGGATGACTCCCAAACTATCAACATGACCAAAGGCATGGTAAGTTCATCTGGGCTCCAATTGGGATCCCTCCACACACTCTGACATTGGTTTTCAGTGCACTCAATTCCCGAGTGGAAAAAGGCGATGGAACCGCAAGGTGAAGTGTCCAGGCATTTGAAGGTGTTTTAACAAAAGGTTGTTATGCGCATCTGCAGTGACTCAGCGGCAGCTCACGAACGGTGGAAAGCGGCGGAGGGAAACCTGTTTATGGGGAAGGTAGCATGGAAACAACCATGGAAACAAAGAACAGCGGCGAGGGGAACCAGTGGAGTCAGTATGTTCAGCGCAGGTACACACGGGTGATCAATCCGTGCTTACTCCAAGGCATAGCTTCGTTGCACTGAGTTTGCCAAGGAGTGCTCAGTGCCCCCGCGACTTGAAAGTTGAGAAAAACAGAAACTCTTAGTTACAGAGGTGGAGACACACACAGAACGCCGATATCGGCGCTCTGGAGGAATTTACTAATCACCTAAAAAGCCTTAGAAAGAACTTGTGGCCCAGAGGGGGGTGGCGAAAGCTAGGCAAAGAAACAACGCTGGGGCTCTTTAGGCAGCAAAAGCCTGGCCGGGAATCGCAACATGCCATGGCCAAGGGAAAAGGAGAGTGCCAACAGCGCCCCCCCAATACGACCCCAACACAGCCAACACATGGCAACACACAACCACCCCAGCAACCGCAGCAGCAGCAGCAGCAGCAGCAGCCACAACAACAATAACTGTAACCAGCAGCGGCAGCGGCAGAAAGCAGAAGCTACCAAGCAGCAGCAGAAGCAGCAGCAGGAGTAGCTAGCAAGCAGCAGCACCAGCTACCAAGCAGCTACCACGCAGCAGCAGCTACCAAGCAGCAGCAGCATCAGCAGCAGCCACCAAGCAGCAGCAGCAGCTACCCAGCAGCAGCAGCAGCAGCAGCTAGCAAGCAGCAGCAGCATCAACAGCAGCTACCAAGCAGCAGCAGCAGGAGCAGCTACCAAGCAGCAGGAGCAGCAGCTACTAAGCAGCAGCTACTAAGCAGCAGCTACTAAGCAGCAGCAGCAGCAGCAGCACCAAGCAGCAGCAGCAGGGAAAGAGTGAGCTTTCCTTAGAGTCTTTCGGGCCCCAACATTTGGTCTCGAACAATAGCACATATAGGTGCTGCCTGAGTAATTGTAGAAGGGCGACGTGGAAAGACAGGTACATCTGATATATCTGTTTTTTCACGAATAAATGCTGACGATGCAGCCAGCAGCGGTGTGCATGATTGACATCTAGGGGTTGCATGGGAACATGTGTCAGCGACCGAAGACTCCGTCGCAACGCTTGTGCATGCTCCCTGTCGCTCGAGCATGGAACGCGGACTACCATGAGTGAAGCAAACAGCCCGTTCAAACATCTTACTGGGTTCTATCATTCATGTGTGTAGTAAGTATCATCTATGGATAGCGGATAGTGCGTTCTGACTTGTACTCTTGGGGGTTGTGGGGTGGGTAAATGCCTGTACAAGCTTCTTAAGGATATAATGAAATTAGCATCGTTTCACGACTCAGAGGGAATGCAACTACTCTCGATTCTAACGAACAGGCTTTCTTCAGCACCAACAGCAGCCAACAACCCCAAACAGCAACAGCAGCAAAACGGAGCAGACAACAAGCAGCAGGCAGCCAGCATCCAGCAGCAGCAAGCATGCAAGCAGCAAGCAGCAGCAACCAGCAAGCAGGCAGACAAGAGCATGCAGCAGCACCAAGCATGCAAGCAGCAAGCAGCAGCAACCAGCAAGCAGCCAAGAGCCAGGCGCAGGAGCAGGTCCTGATATATCAGGTAACAGCACTCAGGTCCTGGACTCCCACCCTCCTTGCTAAAGCAAGACAGACTCCAGCTAGCTACAGCTAGCTTTCGTGAAGAAAGAAAAGAAAGACAGAAAGGAAAACGCAAAGGAAAGAGAGAAAGATAGGTGTAGTGACAAGGCCCACTAGTTACGAAACCTGCTAGTTACTGACTACTTAGCTGAATGAATTAAATGCACTAGTTAGCGAGCGGGACATACGTCTTACACCGCCCGGGTAGCTAGGAGTAGAAAAGGAGAAACAGAAGGAAAGGTACCGACACACAAGTGTGTCGAGTACCATTTCCTTCTGTTACCCTAGATAGCGGGTGGGATAAAAGCACGAATTAGGTTGCACGGACGTTGCGAAAGACCCTTTCCATCAGATTTCGCTGGAGTCTCGGTTTTGCGATCCGAACCCAAACAAAAGCGTGGCAGCGATCGCAGCATGGTGAGACTTGAAAGCCCTGTTGAGGAAAAACCATTTCATCTCCTGCAAAACACCTTTAGCGCATTCGTCTTCACAGCCTTAAAAGCGCGAATACGAAACAACGCGGTTATCCACGTGGCGGTGGAACCCAAACAGAAGGTGGTCTCCCATTCTGAACAGAAACGACCCACGGGACCCCACACAAGCACGATGCCTTTGAAGAGTGTGACGCCATGTCCACTTTCTCGCTCGGCCCGAACATGACTCAGACTCCAAAGGAATCTCTATTGGGGGCTCATTCCTTCATTATCTACGAGTACTAAGCACCAATCAGCATTCTTTGAGGGCTTCTGCTCTGCTGAATTTTTCAAAGAGCAGTAGGTCAGCGTTTCCCGCAGTTCACCCCCGCTGTGGACAGACTTGGAAACGGCAGGATGGATGGTTTGTGGGTTTCCTTCAATTCATCAGCACCGTAGCAGCTTAGCACAGTATCCTCCAAGAACGTTCCTCTTGAAACATTGCATAGTTGATGACCCCGCCCTCCATAGCTAGCTAATTTCTGAAACACCCTGCGGTCTCCCAAAACTTTGAGGCTGAAACCAATGGTCTCTTGAAGGACTGCTTTGGGTAGCTTGACACCTGGCCGACAAATCACTCCAAAAAAGACCTCCAGACGAGAATCACCTCAAAACAAAAATCGCTGACACAATGGAATCAGTGCAACATATTTGGTCCGTTTCTGCTGGAAAACATGTGTAAACCCTACGTGTTCCAGCAGCGCAAAGGTTCTTTGGGAATTTCCTTGATTGATGGGCGCCAGGGGGTTGAGCAGAAAAACCTTCCAACATGCGTGCAGCGAGGTCATCAAAACTAAGCAAAGGGACCTGATCACGTGGCTGGGCCGAGCAAAGGGAATGCAAGGAGAGTTCAGATGGGATCGTTCGGCCTAATGAAACTCCCGTGCGTGCTTTTAGCGACGTGAAGAACATGGTGTAGCAAAAATGGCGTAGAAAACTTTTTGGCAGGAACAAACATTGAACAACCAAGGGAACCAGGTATGAACATTCAGTGAACTTCCACCCCACGAAATGAACAAGGTGAACAAAACCCAAAATCACATGAAAATCATGTTTGGGACCTCCGGCTTTGAACGTCTCATGTTTGTGTGAGACATTGGGAGAGGCGATGCCCCAAGACTGCGGTCCACGTCCCTTCACCGACAGGTATTAACACACCAAAAAATGGTTGTGCTGATGCACCGCTCCAAACCAAGAACAGACCATGAAAACCTGACCTGCGGCGCAACGCGCTCGTTCAGCCCTGGTGGCCACTGGTGGCCCTAGAGTCCGTCAGGTTCTCTTTGGGACACCCGTTGTTTGCGAGGTAGAATGTCCAGCGCCCCGTCGAACCATGTGTGGAACTTTGGGGACTTGTTTTGACCCTTTGGATACACGACTTTGACGGCAAACATGTGAGCTGAGTAGGTGTGAGATGAGTACGCGTAAGATGAGGAGGTGTGGAATGAGTTGGTGTGAGACAAGTTGGTGTGAGATGACTGCGAAAGAGGAGGAGGCGGATGGGATGCGGCGTGCATTGAAATGCCAAAGGTCCGGGAAGCGTAGGGGAATCTATACATAGGTGGCTAACCTGTGTTGCGCAAAGGGCAGCAGTGGCGGCGCAAGTTGCAAGACGCCCTGAACACGGATTCACCGTGTGAAGTTCGGCTGACGAATCGTTTCTGCTGGGTATAGGAATTATGGGCTGCTCTTGGCCATAGTTTAATTCACAACCAGCCCTTATAAAGCAATGAAAAAATAGAAGTAACACAAGATGGAACCCACGAACCCGAATGCAAACACGTTCGAAAAACTAATATGTCCAAATGACACTCTTGTAGGACACTCTTGTGGGACACTCTTCTGGGACACTCTTGTAGGACACTCTTGTAGGACACTCTTGTAGGACACTCTTGTAGGAAACTCTTGTGGGACACTCTTGTAGGACACTCTTGTGGGACACTCTTGTAGGACACTCTTGTGGGACACTCTGGTGGGACACTCTTGTGGGACACTCTTGTAGGACACTCTTGTGGGATACTCCTGTAGGACACTCTTAAGGGCAACTCTTGTGAGACACTCTAGTGGGATACTGTTGTGGGACAGTCCTGTAGGACACTCTTGTGGGACACTCTTGTAGGACACTCTTGTGGGACACTCCTCTGGGACACTCTTGCAGGAAACTCTTGTGGGACACTCTTGTAGGACACTGTGGGACACTCTGGTGGGACACTCTTGTGGGACACTCTTGTAGGACACTCTTGTGGGATACTCCTGTAGGACACTCTTAAGGGCAACTCTTGTGAGACACTCTAGTGGGACACTGTTGTGGGACAGTCTTGTAGGACACTCTTGTTGGACACTCTTGTAGGACACTCTTCTGGGACACTCTTCTGGGACACTCTTGTAGGACACTCTTGTAGGACACTCTTGTGGGACACTCTTGTGGGACACTCTTGTAGGACACTCTTGTAGGGCACTCTTGTGGGTCACTCTTGTAGGAAACTCTTGTGGGACACTCTTGTAGGACACTCTTGTGGGACACTCTGTGGGGCAGTCTTGTGGGACACTCTTGTGGGACACTCTTGTAGGACACTCTTGTGGGTCACTTGCAGGACACTCTTGTGGGACATTCTTGTAGGAAACTCTTGTGGGACACTCTTCTAGGACACTCTTGTGGGACACTCTTGTGGGACACTCTTGTAGGGCACGCTTGTGGGATACTCTTGTCGGACACTCTTAAGGGACACTCTTGTGAGACACTCTTGTGGGTCACTCTTGTAGGAAACTCTTGTGGGACACTCTTGTAGGACACTCTTGTGGGACACTCTTATAGGACACTCTTGTGGAACACTCTTGTGGAGACACTCTTGTGGGACACTCTTGTGGGTCACTTGCAGGACACTCTTGTGGGACATTCTTGTAGGAAACTCTTGTGGGGCACTCTTGTGGGACACTCTTGTGGGACACTCTTGTGGGACACTCTTGTAGGACACTCTTGTGGGATACTCCTGTAGGACACTCTTCAGGGACACTCTTGTGAGACACTCTAGTGGGATACTGTTGTGGGACAGTCTTGTAGGACACTCTTGTGGGCCACTCTTGTAGGACATTCTTGTGGGACACTCTAGTGGGATACTGTTGTGGGACACTCTTGTAGGACACTCTTGTGGGACACTCTTGTGGG